AAGGCTGTGACCTGATTGACAGGTTGAGTACCACCGCTATGCTTTTTATAGATCTTCGAGTTGGCTTGACATCATGTCATGACCACACGAGGCCCGACAGTTCCATCCCCGGAGAAGGAGCTGTGTGGATGTGCTGCTCATCTGAGATCTCGCGCTTCTAGATGCTGCTGCTGAAATGGTGGACGTGGGCGCTTCCCTCAGGTCCCACGGGGCCGTCCTCCACGCTTGCTCCTTGTCCTTCCAACGCCCCAGTGATGGCATGTCATGGCCTTCCGCTGCACCTGGTCCTTCCATTCCATGGGCAGTGCCTGTGGACCCAAAGAAAAGGAAGTCCTTGGCAGCATCCGTCTTGTTCTCATTGTCCTGATTTGTACCCACGAGTCCGGTGGTGAGGGGTTTGTCTTTCGTTTTCACCTGTACATAAGCCTGCAGTCTCTGATCTTTTATCAGTAAGTCCTTCAAGCCCTCCTGTCCTCAGCCAGCAGTTATTTGCATTTCGAAGTTTGTTAATGAGCCTTCATCCTGTCTCGATACTGTGGTCTTCATCTCATTTAACTTCTTGGATTAATTGTTCAGCATACAAATCTGAGTCAGTTTGGTGAGAGGATGCAACCACGACACACACCCCGTCCCTGTTACTGAAGCACACGGGGGGCCCTTTGTTCTGTTGGACCAGCCACCTCCTGTTCTATGTGCCGCATCTGCATGCATACGATATACTGTCCCGGAGTTCCAGCTCGTTCTGTGTGAGGACCCACTGTTCTTGCACAGTTATAAAACACAAGTAAACACCTTTCTGGCATTCTCTGCTTTCAGCCAAGATCCGGTGACATCTACAGTGTCTCTGGCTCGCATGTATGGCAGGTCCCTGTTGACATGCTGCAGTGGTTTCTGAATGAGCTCCAGCGTGGCATTTTCATGGTACTGTTTGTTCATTTCCGCATCCTATTGGGTCATGTTTCTCAGGAATGGTTACAACAATATGTATCTCTGTCCATAGCCACCTGCCGTCACAAGGCCTTAGCTTAGAGCAGCGAGTCCCTCAGCACAGATAAACAGTAGGTGTTTCCCTTGTCGAATCCGCAGCCGTGCCTGGAGCCTGGCTTCTCCCTTCTGTCTCCCGGGCAGCTTGGACTTCTCCATTCAGTACCCCCAGTTCTGGACGGTGTGCTGCCCCTGGAAATGGTAGCATATGGACCACGTCTGTGCAGTTCAGTGACTGACTCCCAGCCATTTGGTTTTATAATCATTTTATTAGGGGCTCGTACAACTCATCACAATCCAGACATCCATCCATTGTGTCAAGCACATTTGTACATTTGTTGCCATCATCATTCTCAAAACAGCTCCTCATTTTTTCCCTTCCCCCACCCTCCCTCC